GCTTTTTCGAAGGTTGTAATTTCAATTTTTCAACTTTGAACGCGTATTACAGCAATATGGCAAATTATGTGTATGTTATGTTGCATACCTTCGATGTGTTTGTGAAAAGTTTACTCTTGACCTTGAATTTTCAAATAAGTGAATTTCTTGTTAGCAATGTATTGTTAATATTCGTGAATTCTTCTTAATTTAATTATTAATGTGCGATAATTTTAGAAAGCTTCACTTAAGCATTGTTCACAATTGTATTAATAATAATAATATTAATGTGTATTTACCTTTTAATATCTTCATTTCTGTGTCTTTGAACACTGGAAAAAAAAATGTGGATTTTAAAGCGTATTTATTGTTGATGTTTTTGATTATGTACTTACGTTTTTTTCTCTTTTTGCAGCTGAGGACGAGTATGATGACGGAGAGGACGATGATGATGGGAATGGTGAACGTCAGGATGGAGACGATGTAGAGCTGGTACAGATTGAGCGGAACGAAGATCTCGTTCCAATGGATCTTGAGCTCGTCCTGTTTGGACATGAGGATCTGGAAGGTGCGAAGGCTCCTGAATTCGGCGACGTCGAGGTCGACGTGTATGATGAAGTTGTGCGAGAAGTCCACGACCTGCAGATTCTCCATCGGCGGAAAGGTGCGATTGTTCAGGGTGGTGATGTTGTTGTTGCTCATGTCGAGGACGGAGAGATCGCTGAGGTTCTTCAGGAAGCGCAGGTTATCGAGTCGGTTGTTCTTCAGGTAGAGATATTGGCAGAAGTTGGGGCCGGACCGAAGGAAGGCGTCTTCGCCGATGGTTTTGATGCGGTTGTTCGAGAGGTCGAGGATGCGCGTCGACGGAATCGATTCCACGACCTCGATGAGGTTGTTGTCCAGGTAGAGAGCGTTCAGCGAGGAAACGCCGACGAAGTGATCGACCTTGATCACGCGCAGCTCGTTGTGCGAGAGGATGAGGTCGTCGATGAGGATGTTCGCGAAAGCGGACGCTGGGAGGTCGCGAAGAACGTTGAAACGAAGCGACAGCTTTCCGATGCGCGACATTCGGAAGTCGTCCCAGCTGTTCACGTCCAGCTCGTTCCCGTCGAAGATGATCTCTTCGGCGCTCGTGCATCCTGTTAGAAGGATTGTCGTGTAATTGCTGCCCGCTGGACAATAAACGCTTCGACACGTTTCCGGTTTGCAGATCTTTTCGCCTTCGGTTGCGGCTAACATCACCAACAGCACCAGCACCTTCTTCGTCGTCATCTTCAACGGAATGAAACAGCGAAGAGGTGAAACGTTCGCTTTTCACGTTCCACGCTAATTGAATCTCGTTCCGGCACTAAAAGAACAATATGCTTATTTAATAAGTTTAAAGGGAGCACGCGAATTGATCGATAATGGATACATTAAATACATTATCGTCTTCGACCTTCGAGCAAACTTGAATCTTCCCATTAGATGCAAATACATTTCTTAAAACAACAACAAAAATTTCAAATCTTAATCACAGATAAATTAACATAATAAAACTTAAGACTAATTATTGCACTCTTCTCAGAGCATCCAATTAATTGGTTTCCAAGGTTACTAAACAATGCTGCAATCTCAGCCTTATAATAATCTAGTGGTCATGGATTGATTGATTGATTGATTAACACTAACTAATGATTTAATACAAAATAATGAATATAGTTTAAGTTTTTAGGAAATTTGTAATTGTTTATTAAACATATATTATTTCTAATTTATATGAAAATACTTGAGTTCTTTTTACAACATAAATTGTCATTGACTTGTTTTCATCTGTTTTCAGGATATTCGATTCGGATTGGTAGAAAACGTGTAATATACGCATTACCATAGCAACGCTTGACAAGTTTGAAATTGAAACTGCGAAACGTCAATACTCGAAACAGGTAAATAAAGTTGTTGTTCTTGTTATTGTTTATTGCAATATAATAATAATAAAAATTATAATCTTCTGTTCAAGGTATGTCGATGTTGAGAGCGTATAGCCAATCGCTGATCATGACGAGACCAGGATGCGTCGCACCAGGTGCCAATTCGGCGCATCTGCTGTCCTTGGACCGGTCACCGCCGCCGCATCCTTTCATCGGATTCGGATACCTTCCCTGCCAGCGGGCCCTCATCTTGTACAGGTTCATGCTGTTCGCGCAATCCACCTTCCCGATGTAACCGGGATTGCGGATCCTACCGCCCGAATCGCACAGTAGATCGACGCGTCTCTGCAGCTGGTATCTCTTGTACAACTTGATCTGACCCATATCCTCCACTTTAC